TTGGGCTGAAAAGATACATATATTACAAAACAGCATCAGCCGCAGCAACGTTGTGCGCTGAGCGGGATGCGGCTTCATACTGAACGTTCGGCTGTCGAGGCCGGCGTTCGGCTGCCACTCTCAGCAGTCTTACTTTGTCTGGGCACACTAAAATGGTCGCGGTCACCCATGGGGCTCAGTCGTTGACGATTTATCGGTATCCGATTATTTTGACATTTGACAAGTCTATGCATTGTATGGTTAGTGGTTTGGTGAAATTGCTCAAAAAACATGATTTCGATATCGAATTTTATTGATTACTTGGAAACTGGGCAATTTATCGAATATCGGAAACAAACACGATCTGCGCGGGTACTAGGAGGACCTTCAGCCTCTAGCTCTTATAGGTTCTGAAATCTTTGCGTTCATACATACGGACGGTTAGACGGACGGACGGACAGAAGCGACCCTTCAATCAGTTCGACATTATTCCCAAGACCGTAACTGATACTCTAGATTTCTAATTTACATTTGTTGCTTGGAATAGGGAAACCCGAGAAAACCCACAGTCTCCTTGACGACCAATTTTTGAGATCTGATTAATTTGATTCAAACCTTGTTTTCATAGCTTAAATATTTAAGCAAGTATATTAAAAAAATCGATTGCATTACCAGAATGATTGGATTGATTGTTTAAAGTACCATTAGATTGATTGAACAAAGTACTATTAGATGGATTGAACAAATATTAGATAAGCCTGAAAATAAATGAAATATAAACTATACGAATATTAGTTATCCCCAGCCAGTCCACTTACCGGCAGAAGACGCAAACTCTGCACTACGGCAGGTCAACGACCGTTGCATGTGCGGTTAAGCGGCTTTATAATTATTTAAGTGAATATTGCAAAATCAGTTATAGGAATGAAACGAAAGTTATAGGAATGAAATAAATAACAATATCTAACAATCCTATTAAAATAATAGCACATACACACAACACAGAAAACAATACAATAGTAATTGCAAGGCTGTTAATAGAACTGATAATGTTGTGACATTAAATTGTAAATTAATAAAATTAAATTAAAATTGTAAAATAACGATCAACAAAGTCGCTGTAGGAAGGCAAAGCTCAGGGACACATATTGATTATTATTAAGAAAATCGAAAGTCGCTTTGCCGATGGACACACCTTGCCTTTATCGAAAGTAAACAATTTGGCTGGAATTTGAAAAGTTCTACTTTTAGTCTACGAAATGTGTAGGTGATCGTCTCATGGTAGGGCGGGTACGCTGGGTCCGGAACCGGGGCCCGATCTGGAAGAGTAAGGTGGATAAATAGTGTTTTTTGTTAATTTATATTGAGTGTCTCACCTTTGTTGTTTACATTTTCATTGTTGTTACAGCTGTTTATCTTGATCATGAGTTAGCAGATCCGAATATTTGTTATCGATTATGTGGTTCATTTTTGAATAGTGCTGTGGGAGTCTGTTTTGCTACAGACGTGTAGCTCTGTTGTTATCGATTGTGCGGACTGCGGGCCAGGGATGGGACTACACCCAGAGAATCCGATGAGTTAACCGGCGCGGCCAACTGAGAAACAAGCAGTTCCGTAACAAATATTTGTGTATTCTCAATTGCATTAATTGTGGCTTAACTTAGTGGGCAATACAAGTTGGTTTATTAACTTGATTTATAGCTTTGTGGTAGTAAAGGGGAGGTGGCGATAGCTATAAAATGAATGATACTTGATATATATATTCTATTCTAGAAGGTACATTTCAAGTTTGGCGACTCTAGCTCTTATTATTTACCAAAATTGCTCAAAAAACAGGATTTAGATATCAATTTATCGATGACTATGAAACGGGGCAAGCAATCGAATATCGGAAACAAACTCGATGTGCGCGGAGACTAGGAGGACCTACAGCCAAAATTTCAGTCTCTAGCTCTTATACGTTCTGAGAACTTTGCGTTCATACATACGGACAGTCGGGCAGACGGACGGACGGACAGACAGACGGACATGGCTAAATCAACGCGGCTGTTGATGCTGATCAAGAATATATACACTTTATGGGGTCGGAGATGCTTCCTTCTGCCTTTTACATACATGTGCACAAATACATAATACCCTTTTTACCCATTTTCAATGGGTTCAAGTAAGAGGTAAGAGGTTCTAGTCGGGAGCTCCCGACTAGGGTATTCCCTGAACCCTCTTATTCGAACATCAAATGCAGCTCGCGCTACGCGCTACTTTAATTTAGTAATAATAAATATAAATTTAAAAAAAAAAGTTTCATTGGCAGGGTTCGACTAACTACAGTGAAAATTTCAGCTTCCTAGCTCTTACGGTTTGGGCTGTGCGTTGATCACCAAGGACCAAGGATGTCACGACAAACAGTTTTATATTTAGAGATACTAGAAGCAACATGTCAAGTTTGGTGAAATTGCTCAAAAAACATGATTTCGATATCGAATTTTATTGATTACTTGGAAACTGGGCAAATTATCGAATATCGGAAACAAACACGATCTGCGCGGGTACTAGGAGGACCTTCAGCCTCTAGCTCTTATAGGTTCTGAAATCTTTGCGTTCATACATACGGACGGTTAGACGGACGGACGGACAGAAGCGACCCTTCAATCAGTGCGACATTATTCCCAAGACAGTAACTGATACTCTAGATTTCTAATTTACATTTGTTGCTTGGAATAGGGAAATCCGAGAAAACCCACAGTCTCCTTGACGACCAATTTTTGAGATCTGATTAATTTGATTCAAACCTTGTTTTCATAGCTTAAATATTTAAGCAAGTATATTAAAAAAATCGATTGCATTACCAGAATGATTGGATTGATTGTTTAAAGTACCATTAGATTGATTGAACAAAGTACTATTAGATTGATTGAACAAATATTAGATAAGCCTGAAAATAAATGAAATATAAACTATACGAATATTAGTTATCCCCAGCCAGTCCACTTACCGGCAGAAGACGCAAACTCTGCACTACGGCAGGTCAACGACCGTTGCATGTGCGGTTAAGCGGCTTTATAATTATTTAAGTGAATATTGCAAAATCAGTTATAGGAATGAAACGAAAGTTATAGGAATGAAATAAATAACAATATCTAACAATCCTATTAAAATAATAGCACATACACACAACACAGAAAACAATACAATAGTAATTGCAAGGCTGTTAATAGAACTAATAATGTTGTGACATTAAATTGTAAATTAATAAAATTAAATTAAAATTGTAAAATAACGATCAACAAAGTCGCTGTAGGAAGGCAAAGCTCCGGGACACATATTGATTATTATTAAGAAAATCGAAAGTCGCTTTGCCGATGGACACACCTTGCCTTTATCGAAAGTAAACAATTTGGCTGGAATTTGAAAAGTTCTACTTTTAGTCTACGAAATGGAAATACCGAATATTATCGGTTTTGACGTAAAATTTTTTAAACTATAGAATTGAGGATTTGAATAAATGCGTGCATCTTTGGGTGCTATAGATAGTAAAGTGCTTAACATAAATGGTTGTCAGCGGATCATTTTATTCTATTGAAAAACAAATCACTAATTCAAACATTCATACGGAAGAAATTATGAAGTTAGAGAGATACACATATGCAGCTTTTGTTCTTGCATTTAATTTTGCCCGTATTAATGTTTTCTTTTGTTATAAAATGTAGCTACTTTCTACATTTTATTGATCAACCGTCTGCCAATTAGCCTGTCTGGATACAGTTTTTCATTTAAAATCGTTTAAATAATTGGAGAAAATTTATAGCAAACCAGTAGGGTTTCTTCTCAATGTAAAGACTAAATAACGCAGAAGGCCATATTTTGCAATATGTATGTGTAAATTAATACTCAGCTATATACGAAATGTGGTTTTAAACAAAATCTAAACATTCGACTGATCGTTTCTATGGAAGGTTATCATTTACCGATAGTCCGACGACCGACGTAGTCCGACGTTGTGACTTTCCTTATATTTTGTGAGCAAAGTTAATCTTTTTTTTATACCCTTGCAGAGGGTATTATAATTTTGTCGTGAAATGTGTAACGCATAGAAGGAGACATCTCCGACCCCATAAAGTATATATATTCTTGATCAGTATCAACAGCCGAGTCGATATAGCCCTGTCCGTCTGTCTGTTCCTATGCGAACCAGTCTCTCAGTTTTAAAGCTATCTTTATGAAACTTTGCAGAAGTCACTCTTTCTGTTGCACAATCACAATCACAATCTCAATTATATAGCTACCATAGGAACGATCGGTCGAAAAGTAGGTTCTTGTATGCAAAACATTTTTGTTTATTAAGATATCTTGATCAAACTCGGCATTTATTAGTTTTACTATGCTCCTCATATATGTGTAAAATCATTTTAAGATCGGACCACTATAGCATATAGCTGCCATAGGAACGATCGGTGGTAAATAAAGTTGTTGTATGGAAATTTTTTTTGTTTTTCACGATATTTTGACCAAAATTCGGCATTTATTAGTTTGAATATGCTCCTCATATATATGCAAAATCCTATTAGGATCGGACCACTATATCTTATTGCTACCATAGGAACGAAAATCAGGTTGTTGTATGGAAAATATGTTTTGTTTTTCAAGATATCTTGATCAAACTCGGCATTTATTATATTTTACTATGCTCCTTATATACATGCAAAATCCTATCAACATCGGACAACTATATCATATAGCTGCCATAGGAACGCTCGGACGAAAATTAAGTTGTTGTATGGAAAAACTGTTGTGTTTTTAAAGATATATTGACCAAACTCGGCATTCATTAGTTTTACTATACTCCTCATATATATGCAAAGTCCTATCAACATCGGACCACTATATCATATAGCTTCTATAGGAAAGATCGGTGGAAAATTAAGTTGTTGTATGGAAAACATTTTTGTTTATCTAGATATCTTGACCAAACTCGGCCTTTATTAGTTATATAATGCTCCCTCCATTTATGCAAAATCTTATTTACATCGGACTACTAAATCATATATCTGCCATAGGAAATCTGGATCGTTCGAAAATTAAGTTGTTAGATGGAAAACTTTCTGTTTTTCAAGATATCTTAACCATACTCGGCATTAACAATTTTCCCGTGCTACTTAGATACGCGCAAAGCACTATAGGCATTATGAAAAGGTTGGGTCTGCAAGGGTATTAAATCTTCGGCGCGCCAAAGATAGACCTTCTTTCTCGTTATAGACTATTTCGAGTGATTTTTAAAAACAAACTAACAAAACTCTGTTTTTCGCTGATCCTAATGTAAAACAAGTTAGAGGTTCTAGTCGGGAGCTCCCGACTAGGGGATACCCTGAACCCTCTTCTTCCAACAGGCGATAGGTATAAAATTAAAGATACTTGATATATATATACTATTCTAGAAGCTACATTTTAAGTTTGTTTTTCTAGCTCTTATTTTTTACCAAAATTGCTAAAAAAAAAACAGGATTTCGAAATCGATTACTTGGAAACTGGGCAAGTTATCGAATATCTGAAACAAACTCGTACTCTACAGCTAGAATTTTAAGTGTCTAGCTCCTATAGGTTCTGATATTCTTGCGTTCATACATACGAACGCCGGACGGACGGACGGACAGACCGACGGACATGGCTAGATCGACTCGGCTATTGATGCCGATCAAAAATATATATACGCAAAAACGCGATCTACTTGTGCGCACATCCACACAACACAAACATATGTATGTTTGTAGGTCTCGTGGTTTCTGAGAAGTTATGCAGAGAGAAGTAGATGCACACAAGTGCGCAAATCGATAAGTGAGAGCGAGGCACACTCTGCACATGCTTACACACATATGTATGTTTTTGGGATGTAAGGAATTAAAAACTAACATACATGTGTTATGAAAAGGCATCAGCCGCAGCGACGTTTTGCGCCGAGCGAGATGCGGCTTCATACTGAACGTTCGGCTTTCGAGGCCGGCGTTTGGCTGCCACTCTCAGCAGGCTTACTTTGTCTGGGCACACTTAAATGGTCGCGGACACCCATGGGGCTCAGTCGTTGACGATTTATCGGTATCCGATTATTCCGCTGTTTGACATGTCTATGCATTGTATAGTTAGTGGTCATATTCAAGAAAACACATATATAGCTTATGGGATTCGTGATGTCCCATTGAACACGTTAGACATTTCTTGTCGAATGAATATAGTGACATATGTATGTACCACTAATAATGAGTACTTAACATAAACACAAGTTTCTAATTCAAAATCCAAATTCACAATTCTAGCATTCCAGACATTGTGACATCCGCCACAATTATATTCCCATAGTCACAAAAATGCTAACGCATCTTTAATGTAGGCTTTGCATATGGTGATTATTTGTGAGTACAAGCAAGATCAAGTAAAAAATTATGTCTAGAGAAAAGCTTATATTTAGTTTCATAATAAGCTCGCAGCCAAGGTTTAATAAACGACAGCATCAGTTCAATAATTGAGTCTTATTTAGTATCTGATTGTGATGTTCCTACATATTATAATTGATTCGGTAGTTCGTTTTCTATATAAATTACACTTTTTTATTAATAAATGAAACCCGACTATTAAATTACATAAATGTTTCCATAGCCGATTTCTCTGACTTTTATGGTGTAGCACTGTTACATTAAACCCTGCAGCTTGTAATCATATGTTTTAATGATAACACATAATATAAAGTTTTAAAAATTTTAATGTTTTTTTTGTTATATTTTTGTACCTTCAGGGAATAAATAAATCGGCAAACACACTTTTGGACGCAGTACTTGTGGAGCATGACCATGTCAGGCAAATACCTCAGTTAGTTGTGTGCCCGGCAGTTTTGGCAACTCAAGCAACCACAAATATTTTAGGAGAAGCTGAAAGTACTCTTGTCCCGGAAGCGAAACGTGAAGCTACGGACAAGTGGAGGCATGCCAAAAAATAAATTTTAAACAAAGGGATATCCAAAAATATCGGTGCATTTTTATATCTAATTTTATGAAACAAATTAGCATAAATTTGCTGAGGTCTTCTTTTCTTTTAGACATTCTTCAAATGCCGCAAAGTCCCCAAACGAAGAGATTGGTGAAACTGGCAGCGTCAATTTCGCTTTATGTACCCCTCCGCAAAATCGTTCCTTCATAATTAAAATTGTATTCCATAAGAAAATAATTTCTTCTCCTTGACGATCAATTTTTGAGATCTGATTAACTTAATCCAAAGCTTGTTTTCGTAGCAAATATATTAATAACAATCAATGCATTACCAGAATGATAGCATTGATTATTTAAAGTACCATTAGATTGATTGAACAAAGTACTATTTGATTGATTTCACACAAGAAGTGTATCTAGCCGTCGCTACTTCGCTGAAGTTGGCTCTGACTCCGGAACCAGAACAACAAATATATTCACCACACACTTACACCTAAATTCAGAAAAAAATATAGACGAAAAGTAACTTTATAGTGAACCCAACGTGTTTTTTCTACAAGGGAAAAAAGTCAGTTTCCACAGCAAAAGCCCCCAACAGGAGCAGCAATTCGCCCACCTTTCATTGGAAGCCCTGCGGACGCCCTACTACAAATATTGGTCCTTCGAGCCGGATAGAAGTTTCTTCTATAAATTATCACAAATAATTTTAACGGAGTATCCAATTCGCCCCAGCACGCATCGGTGGACCTGCAGGAGAAGCAAATTCCAGGAGCAATCAAACTCAAATAAGGTAAGTAGCAGTGTACTTAGCCGAACCTGTCCATTGCAAAAATTCCGGCAATTCGAGTCCGATTTCATGTTTTGACATATTTTTTCCGATTCACATTTTCCGTGATTAAAGATAGTGACATTTTTCCTCCTTAAAAATCAAACACAATCATATAATCCGTGGCCAACAGGCATCTAAAAACTTACATAAATTAAAACCAAAAGAAAAAGTGAAAACAAAAAGGTCGCCTTATTGGTGTCTATACATACATATATGTACAAGTGCTTAACCAAGTTCGACCGATCGCCATACTGATGTATGCAAGTACAACAATACATACCTGCACACATAGGCTTTCGTTCCGTCCAATATTAGAAGTCTCTGCACTCCTCCACATGTAAATTCAATAAAACCATCATATACCTAAGTAAAAGTAAATTTAAACTTAGTCTTAAACAAATTAAAAGTGATCACGGTGCATACTCACCTGCATTTATGGCCTTATATACACATCACCTTATATGTGTAGAGAATAATACTTATCCCCACAACAGTTTTAGCACAAATTATATTATTTTTTTCTCAATTTAATTTGCAAGTGAAAAACGTAAACAATCACCAGGGTTACGTGGGCTCCATGCAAATAATTAAGATCATTTTCGATAAACTGAGTTGCCTGATAAACGCATTCATATGTTTTTCTATGTTTCCACTTTCCACTGAGCTGCGTTTGCGTAATAAATCAAAACATGTATACCCTGAACCCATTAAAAATGGGTAAATAGGGTATATTGTATATGTGAAAATGTATGTAACAACAGTTTTAGCACAAATTATATTATTTTTTTCTCAATTTAATTTGCAAGTGAAAAACGTAAACATTCACCAGGGTTACGTGGGCTCCATGCATATAATTAAGATCATTTTCGATAAACTGAGTTGCCTGATAAACGCATTCATATGTTTTTCTATGTTTCCACTTTCCACTGAGCTGCGTTTGCGTAATAAATCAAAACATGTATACCCTGAACCCATTAAAAATGGGTAAATAGGGTATATTGTATATGTGAAAATGTATGTAACAGGCATACCCCATAAAGTATATATATTCTAGATCAGCATCAATAGCCGAGTTGATCTAGCCATGTCCGTCTGTCTGTCTGTCCGTCCATCAGTATGTATGAACGCAAGGATATCAGAACCTATAAAAGCTAGAGGCTTGAAATTTTAGCTGTCGGTCCTCCTAGTCCCCGCGCAGATCAAGTTTGTTTCAAATATTCGATAACTTGCCCCGTTTCCAAGTAATTGATAAAAATCGATATTCCTGTTTTTTTGAGCAATTTCGGCAAATAATATGAACTAGAGTCACCAAACTTGACATGTAGCTTCTAGAATAGTATATATATATATCAAGTATCTTTCATTTTATACCTATCGCCACCTCCCCGCTACCACCGCAAAGCTATAAATCAAGTTAATTATCCAACTTGTATTGCCCATCAATTTAAGCCACAATTTATATGCAATTGAATTGTTGAGAATACACAAATATTCTTTATTCTATTCTACAAAAGATATTCTTTTGAAAATTTCATTAAGATTGGTTAAAAAACACAAAAGTTATGTGTGCACGTGTTAGCAGCATAGCTGCTGCGCAAATTCCAAGAATTTCTGTATGCATGTAAACACACACACATTCATGCGTGTTTGCTTTGAATTCTATCAACAGCATTGCAATTGCGATTGTATTGTTTTCTGTGCTGCTATTTTGATTGGTTTTTTTCTCATTAAGGCTCAATTATTGGTATGGCCCTTGAGTAGAGGCAGCGGTAAGTGGTGTGGTTAGTTGCAAGTTCGAACCCTGCCAAGGGAACAATTTTTTTTTTTATTTTCATTTTTCTTTGTTACCTCTAAATCAAACGAGCGCGTAGCGCCGACAGCATTTGGTGTTGGAAGAAGAGGGTTCAGGGTATCCCCTAGTCGGGAGCTCCCGAAAAGAACCTCTTACTTGTTTTTTCTTTATTATTATAACAAATAATAAACAAAAAATATATGTTGAAAAGTTTCCAATGAGCTGCGGTGGCTTGATAAATCAAAACATATGTATTATATTTTCCTTATTATAACAACTTACAATCAATAAATATATGTTAACAAATCTCCACTGAGCTGCGTTTAGAATAAACGTGTCACTTTCTGATCTCAACAATTAATGAAAAATAATCATAAATTTTTGTTCGATCCGTTACCATTACACGGCTGCCCTGTCAATAGAAAATTAATCTATTTTGGGTGTTTCAATAAGCAACAATTACAAATTTTTTAAAATAAGGAAACTAAATAACCAAAATTAATTTAGTAAAATTTTCCGATTTCGTTTGGACCCATTTTGGTAATTCCATTCTGTGCTGATATCTCGATTTCAACGTTTCTGTGACATTTTCATTCCGTTTTCGCTCGACTAAATCAAAATTATTGTAATTGTTCACATGTCACCCCATTGTTAAAAAGTTCGGCTCTGTGAAGAGCCTAGTATGCCAATCGGTAGTGATCAAAACAGCCAAATACGACTCTCAGTACCGTCTGATAAGAAGTCAAAGCGACCTTTAAACTCACCTAGAGTGGTTATTGGGAGACTAAAGAACGAGGGTACCAGCACATCTGTCCGCAAGCCTGTGAGTCCGATTCCAACAAGAAATATTACACCAAAAATTATCCGTTTGACTACGCAAAAGTTGCAGAAGTCAATTGAAATGGTACTGAGCGAAAAAAGACACAGCCATTGCTTTAAAAAGACAAGCTGCGCAACCTCCTTCCAATTTATCTATGTCCAGGGGTTGCAGTCTCTCGCCATGCCACACTAAAGTTTTCAGTGTGGATTTCCTACGCTGGCCTACTTTAAAAGACTGGTTTACGGCGGTCTATATAAATAATCCAAAACGGACGCCGGTTGAAAAATTGTTCCATTTATTTGTCCATGGGTCTTTAAATCTCCGCTCACGAATGACAGCTTTCAGTCAGCGAGGGAGAGCCTGACGGAGAGATTTGAAAATGAGCGTCTGTTAGTCAATAGTCAATTGAAAATTCTTTTCAATCTCCCCTCAGCAACACAAGAGTCTGGAGCCGCAATAACGGCTCTTGACTTATCCAAGATAAGCACCAAAAATTGGGATTGTCTGCTCATTTCTTGTGCTCCAATAAATTGCCTAGAAAAACTGCTCAAAAAATTTTGGGCGGTGGAGGATATCCCAGTAAAGCTGGTAAAGGAACCCGACTTGATTTGTGAGCGCAACTTCCGAAAAACAACCAGAAAAGATGAAAAGGGCAGATACTTGGTCACACTGCCATTCAAGAATTCCAGTCACGTCCATTTGGGCCATTCAAGGTCCATCGCACTAGCTTAATTCCTTCAAAACGAGAGCAATGTTTCGGATAAACTTAATCTTCCACACCATGCTGATCACAAGCCTGACAGCACCACGACCGAGCTCGTAGTATATAACGCCTCCCACCTGTCATCGAATGGCAAAAGCCCGAACGATGTGCTACATGCAGGGCCCGTTCTGCAATCCGACTTAACCACTCAAATGCTAAGATGGCGGTCCTTCCGATATGTCTTCAATGCTGACATCGCGAAAATGTATAGGCTTGTGCATCCCAAACACACGCCCACCAGAAAATTCTGTTGCGAAAAAAATACAGATCAAATGACGTTCGTTCGCTCTATCCTTTAGCAAGTCACATCATCGCAAACAATATATATGTCGACGATGTACTGGTAGAAGCCCATTCCAAATCAATAGCAGGTCGGATTCAGATTGAGAGCTGACACCGACGAGCTCTTTTTCGCTCCATCCGAGCTGACAACCAAGCAGTCCGACTCAAAACGTTAGGTTCTATCACAGATTGCCAAACTGTTCGTTCCAGCAGGTTGACTGAGTCCAGTCATTGTTCAGCCGAAAATATTTATGCAGGGGATCTGGCTGCAAGAACTGGGCTGGGACGATCCACTACCTGAGAGTCAGTGCCAGTTATTTCTCCAAGAATATCCGGGCCTCAGTGCGATTCGCATCTCTAGATAGGTCGAATTTTGCCCACAGGGGAGAGTTCAATACCAAGAGTTTTGTGACCATTCGCAGCGGGCATACGGGGCTGCAATTAACGTGCGCACTGAGATACATGATCGCATCTCAGTGCATCTCCTAACAGCAAAATCGAGGTTCGCTCCAGACAAGACGGTGTCCTTGCCACACTGGAGTTGTGCGGGGCAGCACTTCTGTCCGAATTATCTGCTGGCGCCGACTGGTTCTATTGGACAGATTCCACAATAGTGCTAGCCTGGCTTCATAAGCCACCAGGCGCATAGACTACCTTTGTAGCATACAGAGTAGCAAAAATTACTCAGGCCATCGACTCGAATAAATGGTCCCATGTACGATCCAGCTGACCAAGCGAGCAGAGGTGCCCCACCACAAGCATTATATAACAACGAGCTGTGGTGGCACGGGCCAGAATGGTTACGCCTACCTCAGAGCAAATGGCCCATTCCTTCTGAGCCCCCTAGAGCAACGCACGATTAATCCTCGTAACCATGGCTCACTAATTTCCCTTCCTCAAACGCTTCTCCAAGTTCGACCGAGCCTTGCGAGTGTTGGCGTAAATATTTCGTTTCTTCAAGCGATGCTAACGATTGTCGCTCCCGCCAACGAACGAAATAGACAGCAACCAGATTTCTTATGTACAATTATGAGTACACTTTCTTGAGAACGAAAAAACAGCTCACTTCCAGCAAGCTCCTTAATTTGAACCCTTATCTAGATAGAAAGGGAATTATTCGAGCATGTGGTCGCGTAAGCGCGGCCAAAGCACTCAGCTACGATGAGCGACATCCGATAATACTGCCATACGCACACGTGTATTCGTGTCTCTTGACCGCTTTCACTCATCGTATATCCTTGCATGTAGGCAACCATCTCATGATGCGTCTAATACGATCACAGTATTGGATTCTAAAGCTCAAATCAAAGTTGGTCAAATCCACAATTAACTTAAACATAATTAAACATGAGTTTCTTTTAGAACTGCAAAAAAGAAATAAATGGCAAAAGCCCACGCGAAATTTACAACGTGACGACCAAGTCATTATTAAAGAAGATAATCTTCCAATTAATGACTGGCTTCTGGGTCGAATCCAAACGACAGTCACCCGCGTCGGTACAGACAACGATTGCTCGGCCTGCGAGAGGTTATTCTGCAAGTGATGCCTAAGCTTCAATACTCCATCAAAACTTATCAGCAAGAAGCTAAATGAGCCCTTTAATAACGTACGATTGGCAGACGAGCGCTGGTTCCAGCCGGAGACATCTAGTCTGGTGTTGGGATCGGACATTTATCCTGGCCCAAAATACCGTATTCGGGTGGATACAGTCCGGATCCTGCGCTCACCAGTAAAAAGAGCCACTACAATTTCAGAAAATATATATAGAAGAAAAATATCTTAATAGTGAACCCAACGTGTTTTTTTCTACGAGGTTTTACAGCAAAATAAATTAATTAATTAAAAATAAAAATAAAATAATTAATTAATAATTATCAATTATTATTAACATAATGCGGTCAGGTGTTATGTCTATTAATACTCCAAGCATCTAACCGCCTCCATGTAACGCTCGTGGACGGCTAATAGATGGTTTTTCAGGAAGAGAATAAAGAAGAACCGACCGCTGATGACTAAAGCATTGTAACATCCCAGATTGAACCCTGTCAAAATGGCTGTTGGGACTAATGTTAATCGTTAAGTCGGTGGGATAGCTCCTGTTTAGAGTCCGGCCTTGCTCTGAAGTCTAGCATCTATAAAGTCTTGCGCCGGCTAACGCATAAATTCCACTGCTTGCACAGGTACCCATGGGAACATTGGGGACAAGTCTACATATGAAACGATATAGCGACTGAACTTTGGATTCGTACACGAAATCAATATCAAAATAAGAAGGGTAAATTACACAGCGTTTTTTGAATTGTGGTGAGATTGCAAGTTTTCGCAGAAAACAAGAATCGAGAAGGAAGATGTGAATTTATAAAAAAAGTGAGATTTATAATCGAATAATTAATTGAATATATTGAGAGTTGTTGTTTTAAAGGTCTTCTCTTCTCTTAGACATTCTTCAAATGGTTCAAAGTCCCCAAACGTAGCAATTGCTGAAATCAGCTTCGTCAATTTCGCTTTAGTGTGTACCTCTTCGCAAACTCGTCCCTATAAAATTAAAATTTTATTCCATAATAATTTCTGCTCCTTGACGATCAATTTTTGAGATCTGATTAATTTGATTCAGACCATGTTTTCGTAGCTTAAATAGTCGGCAAATATATTAAAAAGATCTATTGCATTACCAGAATGATTGCATTGATTATTTAAATTACCATTAGATTGATTGAACAAGGTACTTTTAGATTGATTGAACAAATATTAGATAAGCCTGAAAATATATAATATGAACTAAATGAATATTAGTTATCACTAGCCCTCCACTTGCCGGCAGAAGACGCAAACTCTGCAGTTCTACAAGCACTACAACATGTCAATGACCAGTACATGAAAGTAATCCGATCTTCTGCAGGTGCGCGCTGAGCGGTCCCTGAAAATGGCACCAGGAGCTGTTAGTTCCGCTAATGTTGTTGCCGCGGTTCAGCTGCTTTATAATTATTTAAGTGAATATTGTAAATTCAGTTTATATGAATGAACCGAAAGACCGATCCAGACGGATCTTGAAATAAATCGCAATATCTAACAGTCTGATTCGTTTAATTGTCGTCCAATAAATAAACTCTTAAATTTAAGTATCGTCAGCTAAAGCCGCGTGTATTCGCATATTATGTGTAACATAAAATAAAAGCAAAACTGTTACCACCGCGATCAACAATAAAGAAAAGAAAACAATAACAGCAACGCCCAACTCCAAACGGACAAGGCACCAGTCGGATCAGCACCCCACCACCGCATCAACGCACGGTTTTCAAATATTGAAAAAGCAATTGAAGTTCATGTAAGTGGAGTGCTTACTTGGTTAATTTTGAGACAAAAATCTTTTAAGATAGAGCAAAAAAAAACAAATATATTCGTTTTTCAATAAAAGGAAAAGGTTCTAGTCGGAAGTTCTCGACTAGGGGATACCCTGAATCCCCTTCTACCAACACAAAATGCAGAAAGCGCTACGAGCTCGTTTGCTTTAGCAGTAATTAAAGTAAACTTAACAACAACAAAATAATTATTGCTTCTACTCGACAGCCATGCGTAGCACAGCACAGAAAACAATACAATCACACTTGCAAGGCGTTTTTAGAATTCAATAAAGGCGCGTATGAATGAGTGTGAGTAGAATGATTGGGTATTTCATAGTGCTGTGAAATTAAATTATCCGATCAATCGTTGGCCCTTTGACACGCATGGAAAGCGTCATGTTAAAATATATATCAAATCCTAATGGTTGATAAGACGGTCAGCCAAGAAAAGCAATCGTTTATACACAATATTAAAGAAATAAAAAGTCTCATAAAAAGCGATGAAAATTGTCTGTTCGCACCTGTCATCCTACCCTGCATACTCAAAAAATAAAAATAACGATGAACATAGTCGCCTGTAGGAAGGCAACGTTTAGGGACACATATTGATAATCAATAAACAAAGGTGTATGTAAGTAACAAATCCCGT